TCTTTCCCTGTTTTTCTTTCCCTCCTCTTTTCATTTTTGTCATTGAAAGGAGAAAATGGGGAAGAAAGGGAGGAAAAAAAAGATTGCCAGTTTTCATAAACCTCATAAATGGCCAATCAAATAGCATTTTCAAAAATGGACATTTTTAATTTTGAAATATTACTCTCAAACATTTTGTCTGGTTGTAGCTATTATGATGTTTACACTCTGTGTGTTCCAAAATAAAAGAAAGCACTTGAGCACTGCTAGTATATTCTGACTGTTTATCACACTAAATATTTTAATTTCTTTGGCAATAATTCAACTGATGCTACCAAAATGGTACTACATTAGCTTTAGTATCCACAGATTTTCTTGGCATATGGCATACTCGTTTTTCATATTAGCTGCTTCTTCCTAAACTGACAAAAAGCCAAACTTGTAAAGAGAATGGGTTTAGACAGCACTGAGAAAATATTGTTATATAATCAATCACATTTCCTTTAATGAGAAAAAGAACTAAACAGGATGCACTTTATACATTCTATTTGAACCCGGCCACTTACTTTCAGTGTAATCACTAGCTTCTTGATATTATAATGTTCATTCACAATACTGAGGGCTAGTTTTTAAATGTCAGTCTTCACTAATGTTCTGTTTTTTGCTACACAATAAAATGGCCTGTTTCCGATCTCCAACCTTCCTTCTTTCCATCCTGAATATAACATTTAACCAGAGCTGACTGTATCTTCTCTTGTGCACCTTATTACAGACTCTGATGGGTAGAGCTGACATTACTTTTACCACTTTTTCACTGGTGTAACTTCAGTTATTACACTGATACCGGTCTTGGTTTATACCAGTGTAAATGAGATCAAATTTGGCCCTGACCTAGGAACTGTGTTGGCTTTGTGTTGCATAGGTATTATTGCATAACTATTGCAATCTTTAATCATGTTTAATCATAAATAATGATATTATGATTCACCTTCATTTGCTTAGTATAAAGCAGTGCTATTTGCTGTTTATATAGCTTGAGATATAAACATCACGGGTGAAAATATCTCTGTATCTGGTAGTTTCCAGCAATGCAGCTGTCTTTTCTTGGAAGGTGGGGGATGTTGTGAATGGAAACACTGTACTGATAAACCCCAGCTCAATTTCAATTCAAAATTCAAGTTTCATTCTTTCTTTATGCTTCATCTCATCTTCCTCCAGCCTTGGGACATTTCTTTCTCTCCAGGAAGTTAGTTCCAAAGTTTCTGTCCAGCCCATGGAGAAGTTGGTCTCCTATACTCCTGAGTGTAGCTTCTCCTGTGTTCCACAGTTGTGGGAAGTCAGGTTGGTGGGATAAATGGCAACATAAATCTAATCATAAAGGGCTCATCTGTACTGCCTCCTTGCTGTGTGAGGGAGCACACTGTCCCACCTACTTGTTCTTGTACCACATGCGTCACATCCCCAAAATGAGGCAATGTAACCAACTTAGAGCAGCCCTGAAACCCAACTTAGTTCTGCTCTTGTGTGTGCTTTTTGGTGTGCTGTCAGGAGTGCTTTAAGGGGCAAATATGCTTTGTTTGGGGGGTTTGATGCCTGTGGATCTGGGGGGAGTAGGTGGAGCATGCTTTCTGGAATGTGGGGTCTGCAGCCTGGGATGTAGCACTGACATGGTGGAAGCATACACATATTAGGACAGAGGCTTCAAATTAGATTTGACAATACATGGGAAACAACTGAAGACTGAGGAGCACCAGGGTGACATGCCTGTATTTACAGCAATATGTGCTGATGGACTTCTGCATTTTGTACCAGATGGGACTTTTTGAGGATGTTTCTATCCCAGACATGATTTAAAGGAATCAAACATGGAGATCTTACATGCATAGATCATTGTGGCCAGGTCTGAATCTATCTGGATAGAGTACGATATTCTGGTTGCTAGTTAGTCAAAGTGTCACTGTGATTTTTGGCACTGTGATTAGTTAGATCTCCTCTACCACAGATGAATGCAAAAGGACACCAAGGTTCAAGAGTTCAAGGACAGAGATTCTCAGAGGTGGGAAAATGGTATGGAGGAAGCTGATTCCTTGAAGTTTTTCCCTCAGCCTTCCAGCATCACTGCAGTCTCCCCTGGATTTAACTTTAACCAGCTGCTCTTCATCCCTGGGCTGATTTCAGCCTGACAGTGAGAAACTAGGTTGTGGTGCTGAGATTTGACAAAAAAGAAATGCAGAACTAGGTGATGTATACTGGAATTTCTGTCCTGGCTTGTCCTGGCAAAAAGCTAGTAATTTTTAAAGAGGTAGACTTGATCTAGAAATTCTTGGGCCCTTGCTTTGGAAAATGGAGGTTGACAGAATAAACATCACATATAATTGGTGCATAATTTAATGTTATTTATAAAAACATCATGAAATGATGCGAGCAATAAACTCAATTGCTTAGACTTCTCCACTGAGAACAAGATCATGCAAAACATTTTCATGGAAGGATTTGTTTTTGGCCAAATCCTCCTGCTGGAGAATTAGTACTGTTTGGATACTGTGTGAGAGGTAAATAGAAAATCCTTATCCAGATAAATCTATGTTATGTGTTGTTGCAGAATCAGTTGGATAGCTGCAAATATTCTTTTACAGTGGTATGCATGCACATTTTAGATTTACCATACAGAAAATTTAGAAGTTATATCTCAGACTACAAACCCATAGTATGTATATGTGCAGTGAGCCTCAAACTAGGTACAATTTTAATAGAAATAAACAAATAGCAATTCTAATAAAAACAAGGTTAAAGGAAATGCACATATTGATCCATATCCTAGTGTAAATACATGCTGCAAGTGAGGGTATCAAATGATTCCTTTGGGTTTGTCGAGGGTAAAAGACCCAGGGTAATTCCCTACAACCAGGTATGTTTTGCCTTTCACAAGGTGGCCATTAAAAAAAAAAAACAAAAACATTACCCCATGGAACCTGGCAGTACTATGAATATAGTTTAATAACCCTTAAGTCTTTAGAGGGTCATGCAGCCCAAATGCCAATTTGTAACTGCTCTCACCTAACTCCATATATATATATATATATATATATATATATATATATATATTCTGGT